TCAATTCTTTGACATTCTTCCGTAACCTTCTGCAAAGTAGTCTCGGAATTTTGTTCGAGTTTTGCCAATATTCGGGACCTTATGTCCTTATCTTTGCTAGAAGTCAAGCCTTGAACGAATATCAAACATTTAAATCGATCAATTGAAAGATCATGTAACATAAAACGTTCACATATTCTGTTAACATTTCCAGCATACGTAACAACATCCTCATCATCACGCTTTACCATATTCAAACACGAGAAACGAGTATGAAACAAACTAACTCGCTCGCCAAAAATATAAAGTATTAACAGTTTCTTCGAAAGAAATGTCACTAGTTTTTCTTGGAAGGACAAAATTCGTATACTTATTATTTTCATCTGTACCCAACTTTTGTAAAAGTAAACTCACTTTTTGTTCATCAGTCCAACCTTCACATTTTTTTTCAAATATTGTTTCAAATCTTCTGAAATACGCAGGAAATGTTATACCCTCCTCTGGGTTAAATTTGAACTCGGTAATAGAATTAGCAATACCTTCGGCCGTGGATTCTTTAGTAAAATTGCTTCAAATAAAGCCTTTGTGTCATTTCGCTGCTGAACTTGTAAATCCAATAGTTGTTCCCGAAACAATTTTTGTTGCTTTTGTTGCCGAATTTGGTTTTGCAGTAGAGTTTTCGTTAATGCAATCAAATCTTCCATTATGCGTAATAGATTACACAAAACACTTTTCGAAAACAGTCAAAAAAAGGGAAAAACACGTATATATCCAACAATAAGCACAAGTCTTACTTCTTTTTGGCACGTTGAAATCCTATTTCTTCTTGAAGAACAAAGTTCGACGTATTGTTTTTTTTTCTTTCTTTCAGTGCGAGAAAAAAAAAAAAATGATATAGTCCACCTAGAGTTGAAAAATTCTCCACTCAGCGTGATGAATGAATCTCTCATCGCCACTGTTATGACGTTAATTTGGGGTTAATAAAGACAAACGCCAAATAACATGTAACAATAAAATGGGGTTTATTCGGTTGGTAAGTTGGTACAGATATCGCCTGAGTAGTCTATAACTAACTCAGCTCAGAAATTCTTCGACGCTGTCTTTTTACATGCCACTATCTAACGTGCTTGTTTGTAGGCGAGTTCATCTTCAAGAGGGGTGGTAGGTTCCTACACAACACTATTCTTTAATTTTTAATATGTTAATAAATGTAGAAATAAAACATAATAATTCAATAACAATTCACAAAATATGAAAGTAATTTAAGAAGTTATTATATATATTTTAAACTTTATATTCATAAAATAAATTTGCTCCTGCCACTAATCTCAATGAACTTTCAGTCAAAACTTCAGTGGGAAGTCAAGAGGTCATTTTTTTCAGCTTTGATTTTCCCATAAAACAAATAATATTTTTGGCCTTTCTATGCACTAAAATGTTAGTCATGTTTATTTTTATGATTATATTTTATTCTGAATTTATAAATAAACTTGTAAATGAAAAAATGAGTTTAAAAGTTTTTGTCTGGATATTATTAGTACACAAAATATATTTTATAATTTGGAAATAGGAAAATTAAAAGCAATTAAAAGTCACTCACATAGCAACATCAAACAATTGAATAATTTTGCACAAATACTTGTGAGAGAGATATGTATCTATGATTTGTAGAAATACAAAATATATCAAAAGATACACTATTTACATTATTTGGACTATTGTCCTCATCTTTGTTGCCATATTTATCATAACACAATTGTATGCTCCGGCATTCTTCAGGTGGTTGGAATGTCAAACTGAACCCTTTATTTTGCTCACTGGGGTAGACTGTTCTAGTTCCATGTGCCGTGCCTAATAGATGTCAGTTATCCTGTTAATTCCCCTCTCAAAGTTCTCCACCGCCTTAACCAGGTATTGAACTCACACTCTTTGGGTCCTGTCACTGGATCTAACTAATGCCTTTATCCACTGTGCCATGTATCCTTGGATACATGGCACAGTGGATAAAGGCATCTGTGTATGAATTTCTGGGTATTATAAACCTAATGTCTTCAGCAACCATTTTTTTTTACGAGTGCTCATATTGCAATTTTTGCTATTATCATTGCATGTTTTGTTTCTTCTTTTTTTTTTACTAGAGCTCATATTGCAATTTTTGTTGTTGTTATCGCTTTTTTCTGGCACTCCTTATTGCTGGTTCCCATATTGTATTCATTCCTATGCTTGGTCGGCTCAGGAGATTTTTGTGGCGTACCATATGTGCAGATTCCTTAAGTTTATGAATTTTCTAATGATGTTCTTTGTCTATGATTTCAATCTGATCCCACAGAGGGCGGTGATCTCCCTTTTCTTTCCATATGTGGTCAGCCACGCCTGATTTTTCCCCTTCCCCTTGTGTTACAGCTTTCTGGAGTTCTTGAAGCCTTACCTTAAGGGGTGGCCTGTCTTCCCTTTATATTTCTTTCTGTAGCTGCACGGGATGGCGTACACACAGTCTTTAGTCATGTTCTCCTCTATGAGGGTTCTTACTCAGGAGAGGTATCTGGGAATTGTCATCCAACTTTTGAAGGTTGTTCTGATGTTATATGGACTGCAGATCCTTTGTATTTTCTCCGATAACACCTTCACATAAGGCAGGAAGACTGTTTTCTGAGTGTTGTTGTCCTTCTCTTGTACCCACCTATCCCAGTTTATTGAGGCTGCTGCCATGTACCCAGAGTAGTTGTTACGTTGTAGGGTACTACTTATACTGACCAATTCTTTATCTAATGTGTCTGGGTCACCACTTATGACTTTTGCTCATTGTTGTAAGCAGCAGATGATCCCTTTCTTTATGCTGTATGGATAGTGGGAGTTGAAATTGAGGTACTGTCCGGTGAATGTCAGCTTGCGGTATACGGATGTCTTGAATCCATGCTCTGTTCAAGATATTAGAACATCCAGGAATGGGAGTGTGTTGTTACTTTCTTTCTCAATTGTAGACTGTATCGAAGATCTTATTGAGTTCACATGATCCAGTAGAACCTGAACGTCTTCCTGGTGTGGCCAGGGTATGAAGGTGTCATCTATGTACCTTAACCATAGAGTTGGCTTTAGAGATATAGATTCTAATGCCATTTCCTCAAAGTATTCCATGTATATATTTGCCATTGCTGGTGATAATGGTGAGCCCATTGCTAAGCCCTCATCCTGTCGATATATGTGATCCCATTCCGAAGTATGTTGTTTTGGTACAGAAAGTCATCATCTCCATCAGATTATCTACTGGAATACTGGTCCGTTCTTCTAGGGATGAAGAAGAACGGAGTGTACAACGGCTGAAACGTTGTGATAAATATGGCAACAAAGATGAGGACAATAGTCCGAATAATATAAATAGTGTACATAATACTTCATCTCAGAAATATAGACAGATACACCAAAAGATATGTTTAAATTTCAAGAAAATCAAGAAATGCTCTTCTCATAAATAATATCTTGATAAGAAAGGGCAAAAAGTCAAGTTCATGGAGCTCTGCAGGAAAGATAATAGTTAACCCATGACTTGAAGAGATCAAGATTGTAGTGATTGGGAAAACATCCTGCTGGGAATCTATTCTACAAAGCAGCAGTTCTTGGGAAGAAGCTGTTCAAATGGACCTTATTTCTTACTATAGGAATATAAAGGGAATGGGGATGATTCACCATTGTGTATGTGGCATGGTGGGTTCCAATTGTAAAGATCAGAGTTGGTGGGATTATGTAATGTAGGTTGTCAGATGTAGCTCATGGAAGTAGCAATAGAGCAGAAACAGGTTTGCAACATTTCATCTGTGGGAAAGAGATCATAGGACAGAAAATAATCAGCCACAAGGCTGCAGTGATACTTTCGAACTATATCAAGACAGGTAATTGAGAAATGGGCAGCTCCAGACTGGATTTGATAGCAATACTCCATTTTTGATCTGATCTGGCTCTTGTAAAGATAGAGTATAGCAGGGAGAGACAAATACTTATTGAGCATTTTTCCAGTATCTTTAACAATAGATGATGTATATAAGTTCCACTTGAGGTCTGGGGAGTCTATATGGTTTTTAATTACTTACATATAAAAACTCTTGTAATAGTTTAAATGTATTTAAACATAGCTGATAACCTTCTACTCTGACTCTATAGAGAGTGTGCCTACATAGTGAATCACTGTTTAGTATACCATTTGCTCAGCAGTGAACAAGAGAGCTCCCAGAAAATAACTGGAAAATATTTCTAATTTTCCTTGTAGCAAAGCAGGGAACATAATGAAAGACAGCATGCATCCTGAGTACCACTTGTTTAAACTGTTACACTCAAGATGATGTTTTAGTTCTATGACAAAGTGTTTGTAGGACTGCTTTTATCTTTGAGCCCTGAGTAAAATGAACACTGCCACACACTAACAATTTTCAAGATATTTTAAATGTATTACTTTTCTTCATTCAATACTGTGTCTGAATTTTTTTGTGTGTGTGTCTGCTGGTGCATTGTAACTGGGGACTGCTGTTCAAATTAATTGGGAATTGCATAGTAAAAAGAATAAATAACAGTAAATCATTGATTTAAAAGATCTATGATAAATATACTCAGATAGGAAATCTGTACAGAAAACTGAAAAAGAATCTTTTATAAAATGTCAGAAATGTATGTGCATTATTATTTGTTGTTCAGAGTAAAAGAAACAAGACTCAAACTCTCATATATAGAATAATAATTTAACTCTGGACTTTGTCACTTTCATGTGAATATGTGGATGCATGTCTTTGGGACTTACTCCAAATGTGGGTTCTTCTCATGAGAGTGCAAAAGATTTGGTGGCTAGGAGGTTATCTCTCAGGTCAACCCATTGATACCATTTGTTTCACTAGAGTGCAAAGTATCATCTGGGTTGAGTCACATTATATATATATATATATATATATATATATATATATATATATACAGCTTTAAATAGTTACTTAGAAATCTTTGGTTTGATAGGTAAAATACTTTAAATATTTTATACTTACCTGAGTGATATATATTACGTGGCCTTGCTAAAACAATTTCACAATTATTATTCTGTTGTTCATCAGTTGACTCTGTTGTATAACGCATCTTAAGAGCTTCTAACATAGAAACAGTCACATCAGAATCTGGACACATTTGTGCCATTTTTTTTTCTTGTGAAAAGTCTACAAATCAAAGGAATACTTGAGGCACTGAAAACAAATTTATAGAAAGTGTTAATATCAGATCAAATAATGATTTCTAATATTATTAACAATATTTTTTTATTTATTATTTGCTTTCAAATCCTTACTTTCATCCATAAAAATTAAAGTTAAGGTTATACATTTATGAATATTATCATTTGAAATCTAAAAGAATAAAAGCATTGATTTAGTGATTTTATATACTGTGTATGGTTGCAAGAATAATAAACACAATGTATGGGTGTGAGCTTGTGTCCTTGAATGATGAAAGGAAATTGTTTTAACCTCATGTCAACTGCTTGGTTGGACAAAAAATTCCTCATGGGTCACCAAGTGAGCCCTTTTAAACATTCAGAGTGGATACATGACTTAGCATTTTTATCATGCTTTTATTTTAGCAACATTTGGTTGCAAAGGAAAGGAACAGACAATGATTAAATTTTAACAGCATGTATTTGTAAAAATTCAAAATATGTACATAATTGTTTGTGGCAAAATTGTTGAGTGATTCTTCATTTGCTGTTGGTAAGGAAAGTGATTAGGTGTAAGGGCTAGGAGTTCATCAATTTCTTGGGTTGGTTGGTCATGGTTGGTGTCAGAGGATAGGTCTAGAGCAGATTAGTGAGGTGTTTGACAGGCTGGCAGTTGCTGAGATGTTGAAGCAGAACTGCCTGGTAAGGTGGGGTGATCAATTGAGGTCACAGTGGTGGGTTAATTTATTGGCAGATTGGGTGCTGAGTTTATGGTGGTGTTGATGAGGGGGGCCTGAAAAGGTTAGCGAAGCTACAAATTTGACCTTTCAATGCAGAGAATGCAAAAGTGAAGAGCAGAAGAAGTCACAAATCTGACTTTGCTGATATAGTGGATGTGTTGATGGGTTCTGGTTGAATGTGGTATCAATGAAACAGGGTCAATGACAAGGGAGGACTTGAGTGGTTAGTGAAGGTTGATCAAGCAGAATGTCTCTGTTGGATTCTGGTTGAATGTGGTATGAACAAGATGGGGTTGCAGTGGTGATGTTGAAGGATGCCTGAAGCTGGATAGTGAAGATGTTGTGTTAGAAATCATGGTGGTGGTGTTGGGAGCCCAGAGGTCTCAAAATTGGCCTGTTGGCTGCATTCTGCATGCAAGATTAGTGAAGCTTGGGTGAGATCATGGTGGTGATGAGAGAGGTAATCATAGCAGTGATGGCAACAGCACATCTCTGTGCCAGCAGGTAACCTTTTTGGCCTGCTACTGTGTTGATCATTACAAGGAGCTTTCTTTTAAGCAAATCTGATGGTTTCCAGGGTCCACTTTTATCTGGCTGGAATGTTTGCGATTGTGGACTAGATATGATGCTTGGAGCTCCTGCACAGAAAACAACTTTTATATTTTATGTCTTGTTTTCTTAGCATTTACATCTGGTCAACAAGTACAGTGAATCAGAAAGAGATCTTAATTGTAGGGGGATTTTGTTTGGTGAGCCAGATGCAATGCTCAAATCCTATGCATAGAGACTGAATAGTTTTTATTTTTGATCTTGCTACCAGTGTTGACAGGTTTTGCTGTAAAGTGAATCAGAAAGTGATCTAATTTAAAGTAGAGTATAACAGTAAGAAATTTTCTGAATAGATGTTTTTTGCATCTCAGAGCTCTATCCTTGGATCTACGTTGTTTCTAATTTTTATCCACAACCTTCCTGTTGTCATCATTTTTCAACTCTCTATCTATGCTGATGACAACTATTTACTCCTTTCTTAATAGTAAGTCTGATGGTTTGATATGGTCAAATTAGCAGCTGGGCTCTAAAATGACCTACAATCTGTATTTAAACTAAGGCAAGAAATGTTTTGTTAATTTTAATTCCTCCAAAACAAAACTATTCTCTTTTAATTATCTTAGAGAACCTTTTTTGCCTTCCATTGGTATGGCTGATGCTAACCTCCAGGAGAGTGACTCATTGCATCTTCTTGAGCTAATGTTTTCTGCTGACATGAAATAGAAAGATTATATTGAATCAATTGCTAGATCTGCTGTTAGCAAAGTTGGTTCACTGTTTCGTACTAGAAAATTTTTCTTTTCACAATCTATCTTACACATTTATAAGTCTACTATTTGTCCATGCATTAAATATTGCTGCCACATCTGGTCTGGTACTTCTGCTATGTATTTAAAGATTCTTGATAAAATCCTCAAGAAAAATCAGCAATGTTATCAGTCCTGACCTGGTATCTCAACTTTTCCACTGCTGTAACCTAGCTTTTCATGGTAATTCTTCATTTGGTATCTAAACTTTACGAATTTAAACAATACTAGGTTGGCAGCTAGCTCTCACCATTTTACAGTTGAATTGGCTAGATGTAACTGTAAGTTCTATGCTAATCGTTTCTTTCTTTTGCAGGTCTCACTTGTGGAACTCTCTTCCAGCTTCTTGCTTTCCATTCAACTTTGGTCCTCAAAAATTTAAATGCAATGTCAATCGTTATCTTCTGTCTTCTTAATTCCTCTTCTTTTAATAATGTCTTCCTTTTTTCCATATTCTCTCACACTCAGTAACCCCTTGCATTTTAGTGGCCCTATTGTATTGCTTGGGGTGAAATGATTTTAAAAATTACTTTGTGTAGTCTGTGGGAACATTGTTATTATTATAAATAAAAATAAAATATAAAATAGTAATAATGATGAAAATTATAAATAAAATAAAATTTAAAGCTCATTTAAAATAAATAAAAAATAAAAATAATAAAATTACTCCCAGCATGCAACAAGGACTTGTTCCTGCCAGAAGTACAGACATCCCACCAAGAGATGCAAGATTCAATCTCTTCATCCAAAAACTGTTGGGATGACAACACCTGTGTAAAATCCCCCCCGTGATATGGCTTGTGATATTACGGAGTGACTTACTCCCTTTTATAACATGAACCTTATCACAATTGTAATGCAAAACACACACACCAATACACACAAGTACGTAAATAATATTGTACAAAATTACTATACAATTTACCATGTTTTTTATTGTTTGTTCTGTTTTTCCTCGTGAACACAAGCCCAATTTTTATGACCACATGGTGTGAGTGAATATACCTCCACAACTTTATGGTGACCACTGACATGCACAAGAAAAACATCTGAAAACCTCCACAAGTCAACAAAATTGGATTATTTTTCCAAAGATAAATTTAGAACAATAGTTCAATATAATCATCAGTTATTTATCACTTTATGCCAACATAAAGGCAAGTCATAGATCTCTTTATGATAGAATGATATTAATTTTGAATGGAAGAGGCACATTTTATTATTGTTATTATTTCTTGAGCCCTGACCATGCGAGAAAAAGAGTAGAAAAGATGAAAGGTACCAATTAAACTGAGTAGAATAGAGTAACAGAAATTATCAACCTGACAGCAGCAGTTTTTCATGGATTATCTCTCCATAACTGGAGGTATTTTTCTTCAAGTGCATCAAGCACACTTAGCAGCTGCATGAAGAACACTTTTGTAGTCATGTTTAGAGCCAACAGTTGCCACACATCCTATCAATAATAAAAAATAACCTTTTTCTAAAGCAATTTTGGTATTGCTACAACAGTGACACATCTGTTCAACTTTATTTATGGACCAGGTTCTTCATCTGTCTATGATAATGTCTAGAAAAACAAAGATGGGCAGTGTTATTCCTTTTAGCAATTTGATTCTGTTTTATGAGAGAGAGGGTTCACATTATATGGTATAAAAAGAAAATTTTCAACCAATTGCTAGTGGTTTGAGTAAAACTATGAGTTTGTCTCCCCTGAATCCAGATAAATAAACGACTTTGCAACAGGTTGTAGTCAATCAACTAAATAAAACTATTTTGTCTATACAAATCTATGCCAAGTGATTTGAAATGAAGTAACTTGAAACTAAAATACTCACTGACAATTGAAACGACACGACAGGAAAGTGTAAGTCTATTTACTTAGAGAAGCTCCAAGTAAATAGACTTCCTTTTCTCCTGTAAATGACATTTAAAATATCAGACACGTGTCCATTTCTACGAATATTTCCGATAGTAAGACTTTTTAACTTTGTTTACTTATGAAAAGATACGTTTGCAGAAAAATCAGCTTACTTACACAGACCTTTTTTTACATACAAAATAAAATATTTATTGTAAAAAAATGTAAATTTGGTCACAATTATTGGAAGTTTATTAAAGCCACTAAAACTGATTGCATATTTAAAATTTGCTTCTTACAAAAATAATGTCGGATGCTTTGAGTTGCTTTTTTTCCGATTAATTAGAGAAACGTCCCTTACGTCAACTTGCCAGTTAAATCATTTTGTTTGATTCACTAAAAAAGATATTTTTTTTTACATTACTGATTTTTAGTGAAAAAAAAAAAAAAACACTGAATGCTAAAAGGAATTGTTTATTACACAAAAATTTAAAACACGTATATTTCGTTAATAAGTGATTAGCAAAAAAAGCGTAATTGGCGGAGTTTGGTGACCTTCTCTCTCTACTCTTGTTGTTGTCAATAGAAATATCTTCCTCCCCTACGTAAGTCATTTTTTTCTTAGCGTTATTTTAGCAAGGTTTTTTTATTTGTAAAATTATGGAAAAATCTACAAATTCTTACTCCATCAATAACTTTTCTTAAAATATTTTCTCCAATTTTAAATTTAATGCTTCGCTCTTAAAAAAAAAACAACTTGCATCTGTAACAATAACAACTGTCTTAGAGACTAACAGCTAAAACAAAGTAAGTAATTTTTTAAACTACTTACTTTTTGTCTCAATTTTGTTAAATCAAGTCTTTTAGTTTTACTTTCATAATCATTTTTTTCTTACACAGATGAAATGTGACCCCCCAAAAAAAAAACAAAGAAAGAAAGAAACATGAATAATAAATCAATCCGAATAAAATGA